CAACAATTTATGAAAATGTGTAAAATAAAATTCATTTTTTGTAATTTTTTATTTGTCATGTTCTTTGAATCCAGTTATAAGGATCCAAATTTTTAAAAATTTGTAAATATGTTTGCTTATACCAAAAAATCTTCAGTATAGTATATTTTGTAGTAATACATACACAGAAACGTGGAATTTTAATTATTTATTAAGAATTGTAAAATAAATATATTAACAAAATATTCAGATCATAGTAAGATCAATAAGCAAAATAAGTAAAAAGTAGTAAAAACCAAAGTAAGACGAAAATAATACAAATAAAATTGTATTTATATAAAATAAATAGAGATAAAAAAAAAGAAGAATCAAGAAACATAAGTTTACAACTCAAACAAAAGTCACTTCACGCCTGGACGTTTTAAACATGTAATTTTAATGGTGCCTCTCAGAAGATGAAACATTTCAAATTCTCAGAATACCGAGAAAAAGAATAGAAGCTCGGGTCTTCTATCGTTCAATAGGTTGTCCGAATGACCGCTGCTACACGTTTAATGCCCCGTAATAGATAAAAGTAAAGGTGCCCGTTCGTACACCTGCTGTAGTCTAAGAAAATACTAATGCCCGCAAACGAGAACCTTCACTCAACACATTATCAAGTCAAGTAATTGACCAAATTACTGATAAGAAATTGCCGGACGATTTCTGGGAAAATTACTCCTGTACTGTCGTGCCATAGCTAACCGAGTAGGGAGTCACAGAGAGTGCTCTCGCCTCCGAAGCCGAAGGCTGAAACGACGATAAAGGTAATGGATCTTCTATTAGACCACCAAATATGTCGGAGAGTCTTCCACTCAGCGTTTTCAGCTCTAATCGGGAATTAAGGGACACTGCTTTTCGATATTTACAGTTAAGTGACACCTAAGTGAATTAGGGACTTATTAAATTGAGAAGATACAAATTTCGTAAGAATATTCATGGATATCCTCGACTTCTACGTAACACGATTCACATGTCGGATCTAAATGAACATCTTACGATTCTCTGGAAAAGTTGAACCGCGGAGAACTTCAGACATCGAAAATAACGTTATATTTGTGCTCGCTGCGAAATACCTCTTTCTTTCTTGAAAGTGTGAAAAGGAACTAAGGTATGCATAGATTGCTGTCACGACTACTTGTATAATGTCAATATGGGAATATTTCCGCCACGACGGAACTGAGATTCCGCTGATTCGGAAGATTCGAGGGAAACGTTTGAACGCTGCACGCTCCCAATGTTCAAAGCTATTTCACGAAGCCTTACACCGTCACGGTATTTGATATCAATCCGTGACACGAGGCGGATAATATCGTCACTGCGACCTTGCTTTCCTGATTGGATTGCCCTCGTACTTGTGTCGATACTGCCTATTGTTTGATACGTACGCTCTGTACCGTGAACTCTATCGAAAATATGAAAATGCTTTCTTGTAATATGCACATTATATACTCGTCCGCTTTTCCATGGCACCGATTACGTTCGCTTTGGGATGAAGATAAAATTGTAACTGTACAATGTGGTGTACACGTTAAGGTTAAAGACGAAATTAAAATTGAGATAGTATTTTTTCGGAACTTACTAAAATTAAAAGCTTTTAATTCTACAATGAAAAAGTTGTATTTTATTTGATTTCTTGTATTATGAGTTTTTTGAACAAATTTTCATTAGTGAATAAAATGAACAAATAGGTAGGTACTAAGAATTAATACATAATTTAATTCTGTACCGGAAAACACGTATACGAATCAATGGTAATTATTTCTGTTAAATGAACTCATAAATAACAAATACTTTTATTTTAATGTTTCTCCTTCTTAACATTAAATATTACATACAGTAGGTTAGAGTGACTACTTCCTTATAATTTCACATTTATATTATATTATCTAACACTAATTTAAAAATAAACAACGCGGGTAAAAGTAAGGAAAAGTTCCAGGAAACGTTCCGGGAAACATTTTGCATCCAAAACAGTCTTTTTATAGCATTATTTTCCATAAGCAAACGAGGAAAAGTATAAAAATGCACATTAATATTTAATAATACGAATTCGGTAAAACAGTATTTCATTAAGAAAATTATCAAGTCATTGATAATTTTGATGTTATGTATAAATCTAAAATTTTGAAGTACGTAACAATAATCGATTTCACTTATTACACTTCGATTAGTAATCACTGAAAATTTGCGATGCAGATTTTTCTCTTGGATGCACCAATTAAACGAAACGGGACGTCCAACGGAAAAGTTCTTGGGAAACATCAGCAGACGAGGTACAAAGTGTGCTGCGTTTCGCGCATTCTGATGACGTGCATCAATAGTTGATCCAAGTGCATTATCGATCGGTACAACCGGATTTAAGTCCACTAAAATCTTTCTTGTGTTCGCTTGTTATTCATATTAGCACATGAGCCGGTAAGATTCGAAATATTTACGCGTTTGTAGCGTAGGCCGAGCTTCATTGAGATCATCGCGTCATATTCACAGAACACTCGCCACCCAGACCGTAACGAGAAGGAAATTTTGTAAGAATTCCACGGAAATGATGCGACTTCTTTAGACCCGTTGCGACACATCGGATGTTTGCTAGCTTCGCAACGTCCGATTCCGTTTGAAAACTTTTCCTCCATTCCCGAAGGCAGAATTTGCGGAGGAAATCATCGAACGAAAACATATCGAAGAATAATTAGAAGCGAATTGTCCGCTGCGATATTATCTGAATATACGAGGTGGGAACTGATTACGTTATCTGGACATGTGTTCGGTATGTATGAAAATAATATTTGACCACTCACTAAAATCCAATGCTCTCGATACGTTCAAATATAACCGCACAAAAATCATAGCACAATAGCGAAAATAGTAAGAATCGATCTGGAATTACAAAAAAAATCGAATATTTCCGATGAACAGCGTAAAGTGCATAAAGCGCATAGAACAACGACGTGATTATAAAGAAAGCAGGTATTGCGCCTGTAATTCGTCATGAGGAAGAGAAAAGGAAAAAGAGACACAAGAAACACGCTGCACCAATTGCTCAAACGTCATTTAAAGTAGCAGAAAAGAAGAAAGATAGAGTAATGGACGATAAAAAGAAGCGGCGAAGAAAGTAGAACAGACATGAGCGTGGGAGCGAGACGGACTACGCGGTCGTTGCTTAATCGAGCGGGGCTCATCCAGAAAGCATTTTAATTGCGCGTTTCACTTATCTAAAATATGTCGGCTTATCGTCGACGTATCGTCTGATTTTCCAGTTGACAATCCATCGCTTTCGATAACCACCATAGTGACGGAATTCTATCAGCGAGCGTTCGCATCTATGGACGATCTCCCGCGCGACTGTCCGTCGCTCACGTGAAACATACATCCACGCTCGTCCTTCTTCGAAAGAACTGATTCGCCGAACCGGCCAGAATTTACTGATATAAAAAACCCGGATCAGATAATTCGAAAATAAGTAGAGATTCCATTCGAGTGGTGTGTACCGTTGAAATCCGTCGATATATTTATAGGGTACCCTCTAAAAATAAACGTGAACGTATTACAATTAAAACCTTTGCGTATCAATGGATACCCGTGTTGTCAACAAGCTGGCATACGGCTAAAGATCTCCGACAACGAGTTTAATACCAAATGGAGAATTAAAAAGTAGTATTCAAAGTTGTACATCAATGCTCGTGAAAAGTAAAAATGCTCACTTTCTTTTAACAGCGTGATATCCTAAACTGAACAACCTTCGATGGAATTAATTTCGTTCCGGGGATATTTTAGTTATTTAAAAATAATTGAGGCGCGATCGGTCCGAAGAAAAATGTAACGGTAACGAGCCAGCAGAAGGAAATCGAAGAGCAAGGTTTAGACCGCGTTCCCGGCGTCTCGGGACGCGCCACTGAGGAACTGCATGCAAGTTTCGATCATTTTTCAATGCGAAGTATAATGATCGAGTCGAAACAGTATTCAGCTTTTGTCGAAGCATTGCAAAACCACGATAATGATACTATTAGCAAGTTTCGTTCAATCAGTTCGTAACCGTAGAACGCTTCCAAGAAGCACGAATCGCTCGTAAAACGTCGAATACGGCAACACGAATTCCTGTTTTACATAACGTGATTTTCTCGGCGCGCGTGTAACACTGGCAAACATTAATATCACATTAAACGTTTCTTTGCACACTTTGTAGAATGTATCGGCGGAGCTTCTAACGCTTCACCCCTGCCAGCACGAGTACCGTTAGCTAAGCATACGCAACTCGACCGACTTTTCTCTCCTGGCGAACTCGCAAAGCATGATTTCGTCCGTTAACGCCGCGAGTTGCGAGCAACGTCGCGCCGGACACGTTCCATTAATCGTGATGCATCTGCGAAACCATTTAACGCGAAGGAACGGATCGGTTGCAGCGGGTACGACGACGTACCCCGAGATGTGTTTACGCATGCGTGCTAGGACACTTACATTTGGTTCCGCGGTAGACGATGTAGATTGACAAGATCGTAAAGGGAGCGCGTAATCCGAAGCGGACGTCATCCCAGTATTCGTATACGAAAACCTTTGTCAGCCCGGAGCCAGGATCATTCACCACCGGTCGTCGCGTGCGCACTCGCGACCACTACCACCAACAGCAACACCGCCAACCACACCACGGCTATCATCAAACCGTACAGCGGAGCTGATCGACGCACGGTGGATTTTAAAAGCGAACGAACGAAACGCGCACGTGTGGAACACGAGCCACGGGGACCGGCGTTCAAGTGTCCGAATATCGTGGCGGAGATGCCGATATTATGCTTCTACCCGATCTTCTGCGAATCATTTTAAATCGATCGCTCGCTGAACGATCCGATCGAGACACAACCCCCTCGAGCACGATCCCGCGGGACCGTTTTCTCAAACAAGAACATTCACTGAAACTTTCAAAGATTCTCTCTTTTCTCCGGCGCTCGGTGAAAATTAAGTGAAACAACAACAACAACAACACTCACGTGCTTAAAGTGAGACGCATCCAGGCGCGTTGCGTCAGCAGCGTCGACGCATTGCGTCGGGCTGGCCTTCTGGAGCTACTTTCAAAATCCTTGCATCCAGCGACTCCTCTCTTCCGTATCGTGTGATTTGTCTTCTTCGAGGATTAATTTTCACCCACTAGCGCCTTCTAGCACGCCGTCTCACTCGACGATTTTCTGCACTGTTACGCGTACACGAAAACAATGTTTACTTTCCTCTCGTAAACTGATCGATCGTCGGCCAGTGTACCAGCCCGTGCGCGCGTACGCGTACGTCAGATCGGCGGGGACCGCGAAATACAATCGACACGACACATTACTCTTCCTCTATACACGTTGGTCGGCGCGGCGACGAGCGCGTAGAACGGGATCGTTCACTGAAAATGGAACCGTGGTCGAACCGTTCGTGCACCTTCGATTGTTTCGCGCACTGTTGCGTACACGTGAACACTAGGCCGCGGTCGCGTTCAATTCGCTCGGAACTACCACCGATCGGCCGCACGAGCACGCGATCGAATAGACTCCTAGCTCGCATCGGGTACACTCCGATTGCAATTGCGAGGGAACAACGACGGTGGCCGTTCACCCCCGAAAATTCCTAATCCTTCGACGCACTCTCTCACACGTCACACGTGATCGGATTCTAAACGGCGACGGTAAGAACATTGGGGCAGCGCAGGTAGTACGTAACCACTGGGTGCACTTGGACTGCCGCCAATATCGTCGTGACGAGGTACCCGGTGCGTTGCCGGGGATCGTTGGCACCCATCCAAAGTGGCGTGTCACGATGCTGCGGGGGTGAACGTCGAAAGAAAAAAAAGAACCGGGGGAGAAGGAAACGGAAAGAGAACTACCTTGGCCAAGGTGAGATACCCATCGGTACTCGACCAACCTGCACCCGCAAACTTCTTCCTCTTATTTCACTCTCGGTTAACGAAGATGAAAAACAGCGAGGGGGTTGCTTCGGCCGTTTCTCTATTTTCTTTCTTTTCTCTCTCTCTCTTGTTTTCCTGCGATTTCTTTCAATTTTCGTCGATCAAAAAATTCACTCGTGGCACAGAGTTGTCACCGTACGAGAAGCACTACTACGACGTAACGCGACGGCGGCGGCGGTATAACAACACGACCGTAGCACGCGCAGCACGACGATATACAACCGCCGCTTGCGAGAGTTCGGAGGCTCGGAGGCGCGCGAGTCGGTCCCACTAGTGTTCGCTGCTCGCTTACCTGGCCGCTGCCCTGCTGCCGTTGCTTGCCTAGACCGTACCCCCACCCCTCCCGTGCCACCCCTCCACTCGCCACGCACACGAGGTTGCCCCTCCATCCTCCTTACTTTACCCCTCTCTCTTACACACCACTCCTCCCCTTTCTCTTCTTTCTATCTCTTACCCCTTTTTCAATCGTTTTCTCGCTTGCTCTTTCAATCTTCGCCACCTCACCCTCGATCCCTAGCCGGCGAATGTCCTTTGCAACCCTAACGATAATGCTCCGTTCATGGAGGTGTGCGCGACACTCGGGAACCGACCGAAACGCGCCGAGCACGGTGAGCAATTGAAAGTGGCTGCAGCCAGCGGCTCCGAAAGCTGACGGGGTTATTGTAAGGGGTAAGCGAACGAGTTTGAATGTTTAACGTTCTTCCTAGGATTGTCTTCTTTGTTAGACGGAACCGATGTTTCGGGCCTTTCGCAACGTAGCGCCAACGAGTGCGCACAATTCGTTGTTTATATGTCCATTCGTGATGTATGCGATTGATCGTTGATAGCGAATATCCTGTCACGGTTAAAATCATCGAAGAGTGTTCGTCGTTTATCGTAATATGTTGTCTCTCCTAAGCAAGTCTGATCGTCTTCACTGTAAGAATGAGGGACGAATGTCACCCAACGCTCGTAGGTAGCTCGGAACGATCACAGAAAATAATCCAGAAATCGTGGATGCGCGCACATCCGCATCGGCAACGTAAACAAGAGAAACGCTTTCTGGCCAACGACGACACGCATTCTGTGTATCCCAGCTTGATTTTTTCCCCATCGATATTTATTATTTTTTATTTTACACCGAGGATGACGGCCACGCGATATAAATTACGGTACACACCTATAGACCGTCTTTTTCTCCGTATTCGCTCGGCCATGCCGAGGATGACGCGTCGAGGTTACGCAATCACAACCAGTCGAGGTTTGTTTTCTTAAGAGAGTCAACGGCACGATTATTTTAATATATCCTGATAAATGTTAAAGCTGCACCATTCTCACGGCGGACGTGTCCTGGCCGGACAATTAAGCGAAGAGATGGCGAAAGGGGAAGTAAACGCGGCGAAAGACAAATTCGCCGCGAGCCGGCTCATCTCGCGCGGCCGAGAGTGAAACACTGCCTGTCGAAACGTATCTACCATTCACGCGGACGATCGTCGACCTAACAACGCGATAATTAATTATCAATCGAACCGCGATTATGAGCGACGCGCGCGCGCGCGTCAGAGACCGCCAGAATGTCCCCAGAATACTGTCAGATTACGTTCGTTCCGTGCAGTCTGTCACTGCGTCGCCAGTGGTCGAGAATTACATTGTGCGAGCGACCGAGCATATCGCATACGCTTACGCGGGATTATCGTGCACGGGTTGCGCGCAACCCATTCCGATTCCTAATAAACGTATTTCACGCTTTTTCCGTTGAACGGGATCCACGGTCGGCCGTATTCTGAGGAAACTCGATAACCGGTCCTCCAGATTAGTTCTGATACTCAATTCAGCCATATGAAATTGTATACTTGACCAAATTTGAAATCTGATCGTTTTTACTTACAGTTCTAGTGATATGCTTAATGCTTAATTTGATTAGATAAATCGACGATAAAGTACTTGATTTGATTAATTGAAAACATTTAAGCCGCAACCGATTTTGACGTCAAATACCTATGAACGCCGATCGAAGTTGAACATCGGTTTTCGTTATGTACGCTCGTTTCTTGTACAAATAAAAGATGAACGTATTCTTCGAAAATTAATGTTTGCATTGACCTATAATTACTGTCTAACGATACTTCGTATTTGGAAAGGGACTGTCTTTAGAGATTCACGGAAGTCTTTCCTCGTTCCAGCTCCTTTAATGTTCCGACTGGTTGTCGCCAAATCTCCGAATATAGTATTCTCTTTCCTTGAACCGGAACAGGCGGTTGCACGAGAAAATCTGACACCTCGCAGGGCCGTGTTTTATTGACACGATTCTCTTGACGTTCACGGGCTCTTGTGTAAATGTTACGTGAAATCTTCATTCCCCGTAACTAAGGGACGCCCGTTTCGTAAGGCCGAGCGGTTTATCGATTGTACTAATTAGAAAATTACAGAGAATCTTTGTTATTTCTAAATAGGTTCGGCAAACCTCGCGAGTATTCGTACGTTCGAGGAAGATCGGTACGTTTGATCATTACTGGACATGGATCTTTATCTCGACTATCTGGCCCATTGGTGTTAAGCTACCTAACGACACGTTACACCGTTTCCAAGTTGCCCGGGGTAAAGCAGAACAAGCAGTTAGTTTACTGCTGAAGACAGGAAGTCGGGTCGAAAGAGATACGGCTGGAGATCTCGGACGGTTGCGGAACAAGGGTGAATTGGGGTGCACACTTAATTTTCAATGGTGACAAGTACCGGTGCCATCGCAGAGGCCGAATTACCTGGCCAAAAGTACCTGAAACCTGTGACGGTATAAATCATCCAACAATGTGACAGAACCTTTGTCTTACTTATCAGTCAGAGCCAAAATGCTTGGCAGCCGGGTAGCCCTCGTTTTCCCTTTACAGACGAATACAGTCTCAATTGCTTGGAACCTTCGGTCTACGACCCAAGACTTCTTCTAACGTGTCGAATATTTATATGCACCCAACGGTGATCTTCTCTTCAACTTCATTTTTTATATACCTACTAAAGTAATAACAAATTGAACAAAATATCTTTTATTATAAACCAAGTATTTTATATT